GAGGTTCATGGGTTAGTGCAGGACCAGGAGACCCCGAATAAGTCAAAGGAAGCCAGTGGGCACGTGTCCTGGGCTCTCGGAGCCATGCATTCCAGCTCCACCCTTTATCCTTAGCACGTGACCGTGGACAAGTCACCTTGCTCATCTCATAGTGACAGGTAATGAGCCCTCTCTCCTGCCTGCCCAGGAGGGTCCTGAAGAGAAGCTCCCAGGACGGTTCACCCCACCTCAGGTTCTGGTGGAGCCGGGAACTGCTGGAGGAGATTTTAGGGACCCACCAAGAACACCCCCTGCCTTGTCTGACAGATGGGGAAACTGGGGCGCATGGAGAATAGGCGGCTGGCCCCAGATCAGACACCTCATCTAACCTCTCTGAGTTCAATTTCCTCATCAACACAATGGAAACAATAATAGCACGTTCCTCCTAGGGTTGTTAACAACGGTAGAAGCTAAAAAGTATCGAATGCCCCCTACGTGCCAGTTCCTCTGCTGGGCACCAGACGAGCATTCTCTCTTTTTTTTTATTATTAATTTATTTGTGTTACAGATGTTTCTCCTTTTTCCCCCACTGACACCCTCCTCTCGATTCCGCCCCACCCCCTGCCCCCAGTGTTGTTGTCTATGTCCCTGGTTGCACATACGTGCATGTAAGTTCTGTGGTTTATCTCTTCCCTCCCCACCCCCGTCCCCCTCTTCTGAGGTTTGTCAGTTCGTACCCTACTTCTGTGTCTCTGGGTCTATTTTGTTCCTCAGCTTGTTTTGTTCATTATATACCACAAATAAGTGAGATCATGTGATATTTGTCTTTCTCTGATTGCCTTGTTTCGCTTAGGATAATGCTCTCCGGGTCCCTCCATGTCGTCTCAGAGGATAAGAGATCTTTCTTACCCGAGGATTCTCTCTTTTAAAACTCACAGGGCTTATATCAGGGTGAAGTGGGCTAGTTGCGTGGCTTTGCGGGCTGCTCTCGGGCGAGGCCAACAGCCTGGTTTAGTCATTGGAGTGTCCGATCATCTGTTATGTGCTCATGAATTGGGGCCCCTGGGTCCTCAGTCCAGTACAAGGCAGATAAGAAGGGGCCTTGGCAGGTTTCCCCTCACTTTCCCATCAGCTCCACCCTCCCACCTGCTGGCTGACTGTGTTTCCAGGCTCTGCAGGGCCGGAGAACCGCGGAAGGGACCGGGCACATGCACTCATTTGCTACTCTCCGTAGCTGGCGTCACCCTCCGAGACTGGCAGTGTTTAAGCTGACTTCTCTGCAGAGAAGTTTGACGGGGTCTATGGAGACACCCCCATCACTGCAGGGGTCTCCCTCCTGTGCACCTCCCCCAACTACTCTTCCCCAAAATGTAGAGGATGCAGATCAATGACCTGAAATCTCCTTAAAGGCAGAATGCAGCCCGTCCCTGCACACACCGTGCTCACATCTCTGCGTGTTCTCTCCCAAACCCACTCTCAGTGCCCACTCCCAGCCCGTGGGTGAGGGTGTCACAGTCCTCCAGCAGGTTCTCAGCAGCTGCCTTTTGCAAGTCCCACTCCAAGATGTGGTCTCGGCTGAATCTTCTGTTTTCACATCTCTGACAAACAAGCCCAACCTGAGGCCTATCCCACCCACCACCCGGTTCTTCATGATCCTCATTTTCCTGGCCTCCAAAATGGGCTGAGCACCACCGACCGCAGAGGGTAGGATCTGCGGTCTCACACAGGTGGCTGTGCTGTGCCAACTGTGAAGAGGGGTGCACATGAGGCTCCCGCCACCAATCCAGCCAGACGGCACACCTGTTGTGGGTGTCTTGGTCTCTCTGCGTCTCTGTCCCCCTTGGTGGACCAGGAGTTTTCCTCCTTTCCACTGGTCCGTCTCTGGCATACATGCATCAGTGTTTAAGACTGTCCCTGGCTGATCGGTTAGGGAGGAAAAAAGAGTTCTCTTTCTGGTGGCACATAGACAGGTGGCCTCTGGAACGGGCAGGTGGTCTCTGGCCCGGAAGTGCCAAGATGCTGGTGGTGGCTGCTGAGGGGAGGAAGGGAGAGAGAGGAGATTGCGAGTCTCAGGAATTATGTGACACTTTCTTGCTCAGAACTGCCACTTAACCCGCCTTATCAGCAGACAGCCTATTTCTGTAGGTGTTTTCTCGGTGGGCAGGTCTTGGTGTCAGCGGTTCTGAGAACCGCTGACACCAAGACCTGCCCAGGAGAGGTGTTAATTACGCCCACGCCTCCTCCTGGGGCTGCTCTGGGCCCTCAGAGAGCCCAGGCGGAGTCCAGCCGTGATGCCACCCTTGGGGGCCCCGGAGAATGTTCATAAACATGCCACAGATCGCCATGGGTCTCGGGCAGTTCTCACTTGTCCCTGATGAAATGACAACTATTCAGACAAAACAGTGAGGTTTGCGCCAAGTTAAATTTGTTCCATTTAAAGGTTTTGCCCTTTTATTCTAAAACTATGTTTTTACCATGGCTCAGCAGTTAGAGCGTCAGCCCTCAGACCAATGAGTCGCGGGTTCGATTGCAGTCAAGGGCACATGCCTTGGTTGCGGTTCATCCCAGTCCTGGTTGGGTCATGTGGGAGGCAACCAGTCAATGTGACTCTATCACATCGATGTTTCTCTCTGTCTCTCTCTCTCTCCCTCCCTCCCATTCTGTCTGATGATAAGTAGAAAAATATCCTCGGGTGAGGAATTAAAAATAAAAATTAAATAAATAAAAGTATGTCCTTCCGCCCTGGCCGGTTTGGCTCAGCGGCTAGAGCGTCGACCCAGGGACCAAAGATTCTCGAGTTCGATTCTGGTCAAGGGCAAGTACCCTGGCTGCGATTCATCCCTGGTCCCCATTGGGGTCGTGTGGTTGGCAACCAGTTGATGTGTCTCTCTCACACCGATGTTTCTCTCTCTTTCTCTCTCCCCCTGACTCCCACTTTGTCTGAAGATAAATGTAAAAATATCCTCAGGTGAGGATTAAAAAAAAAATAATAGAAGTATGTCCTTCCTCCCTCTCTAGTGTTAAATATCCCTTCTAGATGATGGTGAGAACATGGATGAGTTCTTTAAATGAACTTACCAGAGGATGTGGAAAGTTGGCTGACTCATTCAGCCCCATTGATCTCTAATTTACTGATCTACGACTTCTGAGCATTAGTCCTATTGCTCCAAGGAGTGAAGTAGGAGCCTCGGCCCCTCACTCTGACAAAGGCAGGCTTCAAACCCTGGAGTGGATGAACTCCGTAAAAGTCAGCAGGCACCCTGGCCAGTTTGGCTCAGCGGTTAGAGCGTTAGCCTGCAGTCCAGAGAAACCCAGGTTCCCACTAAGGGCACGTAACTCGGTTGCAGTTTGTCCCCGGCCCTGGTTGGGTCGTGTGGGAGGCAGCCACTCGATGTGTCCCTTCACGTCAATGTTTCTCTCTCTCTCTCTTTTCCTCTCCCTCCTTCCCACTCTATCTGAACAAAAATTGGAAAAATGTCCTTGGGTGAGGATTAAAAACAAACAAACAAAAGTTAGCAGGCACTCTACTGGGAGATGGGGGTCCAGGGCCTATCCGACTTCTTCCACTGCGGTGCTGTGTGACCATGGGAGACACCCTCACCCTCTCTGAACCCCCATTTCCTCATCTCTAAGCACAACTAATAATGCATGCCTGTCTCTTCTTGGAATGACATGGGGGCCCAAATGTTCATTAGTCACACCTCAAGAAGCAAAGGCGGTGGGGCAGGGGCCCCTCCTCAGTCCGGGCCCTCCAGGGGTCTGCTCACTCTCCACTCCCACTTCCTGGACTCGCGCCAGGCGGTCTTCAACAGCGTCTTCAGACACTGGCTGCTCGGCTCCGATATGTCTGGCCAGGAGGGAAGCAGCCAATGGGTGAGGAAGGAAAATGAGATGAAAAAGAGAGAAAGAGAAAAGCAAAAGAATGTGGGGTGAAGGATGGGAGAGAGGAGGAGCAGCGGCCTCTGAGGACCCTGGTGCAGGCCCCCGAGTTCCCCCAGTCGTCCCTTCCTCCACTAACCCTTGTCTCCTAGCAGTGGCCCTGCCTGCCAGACTTCACTTAGTTCACCTTTGTATTCTCAGCCCCTGCGCTTGGGGCTCAGCAAATGCTCAATAACCGCTCCCTGGCCTGGATGGCGAATGTCTCTTGCCCCTGCTCCTAGACTCCAGACTCTGAGGGCAGCGGCTCTGAATCTGACCCTTATTTATAGTCACTCTCTAAAAGAGGGCTTTTTATCGGGTTTGTATGTGTTATTTCAGTCTAATTCACACCAGACTCTGCCAGTGTTATTATCCTCACGCTACGGGGAAGGAAACAGAGGCAAGGGGGCTTGGCTATCTTTTCCTCTGTCTCGCAGTGACAGAGGGGCCAGGGTTCAAATCGTGGCTATTTCCAGAGCCATGTGCTGACCTAATGCCATTGAGAAGAAAGACTGTCCTTAATCTCACCATATAACCGGGCGGATTTCTCACTCTGCTGTTTCCTAGGAAACGCATCCTGACAGCTGGGCCAGACACACATACGTTTCTGTAATCCATAGTCCATGCTACGTTAATGGGAGTGCCTGGTGGCGGAAGAGAGACCCCTCACAGCAGGAAGTTCCCTGGGGTTATTATTTACACAAGCTCCTTAGCCAGGGCAGCGACAGGGAATGGCTGAGTGTTCCAGTGCCGGCAGGACAGACCCCTGCTGGCTGAGCTCTGCCTCCGACTAGTTGGGTGTTCCTGAGCAAGTCAGGTGCCCTCTCTGGGGAAAGGAGGAGGTTTAAATACATGCTCTTCCTAAAAGTCCTTCCCATGGAATAGAGCAGAGATTAATAAGGTGGCACCTAGGGTTAGAGAGACTGGACACCCATTCACTTCTCCAAGGGAAGCTCCCCGCAGACCATCAGAGATTTTGGTGCCATCCTGGGGGTGGGGGGCTGCAGTGAGCGGGGTGGTAGGTAGTATATTGTTGATAAACTAAAATATTCCATGCAAATGGGTAACCATCACGTCATCATCATGATCTTCCGAGCGCTCTGAGCACGATGTGTGCGGCACCCGCCAGCAATGGAGTGTTTGTCGTCATCCCGCCCAACAACGCCAGCGGCCTGCGCCCACCGCCAGCCATTCTGCCCACGTCCGTGTGCCAGCCTCCCGGGATGATGCAGTTCGAGGAGCCACCAATGGGGGCGCAGACGCCAAGGGCCACCCAGCAGCCCGACCTTCGGCCAGTGGAGACATTCCTGACTGGAGAGCCCAAGGCTTTAGGGGTAAGATCGGCCTCTCCAGACGACCTGAGGCGTAGGTGCTGAGGAGAGAGGGTGCACCCCAGCACCAGAGCATTCCTGCACACCTTGGAGGGGTGGCAAGCAGTCGAAAAATACTTAGTGAGGTCTTGAGGATTCAGCTGTGCACTAGACAGACAAGGACCCCTAAAGCTGGGTGGGGGAGGGGCAACACTGTGGAGGGTGGACAGAAACGTCTCTCTGGGGAGACGATCTTTAAGCTAAAACCTAGCTGCTGGGCTGAAGCCGGCCAAGGGAAGATCTAGGAGCAAGGGTTCCCCAAGTACAGAGAAAAGCAAGTGCAAAGGCCCTGCGGTGGGAAAGAGTGTGGCTGTTCAAGGACAAAAGACAAGGTTGACATAACTGGAATGTAATGAGCAAAGGAAGGAGGGGAAAGAAATAAAGTTGAAGTGGAGGGTGAGGGCCAGCTGCTACCCAGCTGAGAGTTCATGATGGCTGACCTCTATGACTTTTTCCAATCTCAGATGGCCTTGAGATATTGGTCTCTGGGAGAGAATAAATATTAGATAGTAGATAGGTGGGTGGGTGGGTGGATAGATGGATGGATGGATATATGTATTCACCCATATACACACATGGAATATCTTCAGTTTGTCCCTTGGCCTCTGTTTCTCCAAATGGAAGGTGAAAACATAGCTTAAGCAATCAGGAGGAGGAGGAGGAAGAGGAGGAGGAGGAGGAGCAGGAGGACAAGCAGGAGGAGGAGGAGGAGCAAAAGGAGGAGCAGAAGGAGGAGGAGAGGCAGAAGGAGGAGCAGGAGGAGGAGGAACAGAAGGAGAAGGAGGAGGAGCAGGAGGAGGAGGAGAGGCAGAAGGAGGAGCAGGAGGAGGAGGAACAGAAGGAGGAGGAGGAGAGGCAGAAGGAGGAGGAGGAGAGGCAGAAGGAGGAGGAGGAGGAGGAACAGGAGGAGGAGGAGCAGAAGGAGGAGGAGAGGCAGAGGAGGAGGAGGAGGAGGAGGAGAAACAGGAGGAGGAGGAGGAGGAGCAGAAGGAGGAGGAGAGGCAGAAGGAGGAGCAGGAGGAGGAGGAACAGAAGGAGGAGGAGGAGAGGCAGAAGGAGGAGGAGGAGCAGAAGGAGGAGGAGAGGCAGAAGGAGGAGGAGGAGGAAGAACAGGAGGAGGAGGAGCAGAAGGAGGAGGAGAGGCAGAAGGAGGAGGAGCAGGAGGAGGAACAGAAGGAGGAGGAGGAGAGGCAGAAGGAGGAGGAGGAGAGGCAGAAGGAGGAGGAGGAGGAGGAGGAGAAACAGGAGGAGGAGGAGGAGGAGCAGAAGGAGGAGGAGAGGCAGAAGGAGGAGCAGGAGGAGGAGGAACAGAAGGAGGAGGAGGAGAGGCAGAAGGAGGAGGAGGAGAGGCAGAAGGAGGAGGAGGAGGAGGAACAGGAGGAGGAGGAGCAGAAGGAGGAGGAGAGGCAGAAGGAGGAGGAGCAGAAGGAGGAACAGGAGGAGGAGGAGGAGGAGGAGGAGAGGCAGAAGGAGGAGGAGGAGAGGCAGAAGGAGGAGGAGGAGGAGGAGGAACAGAAGGAGAAGGAGGAGGAGCAGAAGAAGGAGGAGAGGCAGAAGGAGGAGGAGGAGAGGCAGAAGGAGGAGGAGCAGAAGGAGGAGGAGCAGAAGGAGGAGGAGAGGCAGAAGGAGGAGGAGGAGAGGCAGAAGGAGGAGGAGAGCTCTTATTTATTAAGCAGCCCCAAGAGGAACATTACTATGACAAGCAATTTTCCTGCATTGTCTCCCCAGTTCTCATCCCCACTTTTTGAGATAGTGATCATAGTTCCCACAGGACAGATTAGGAAACTGAGGCTTGCCACGGCTGGGTCACTGGCCCAAGGCCACACAATTGTTAAGTGACATTTTGTACCCTAGGACGACCTGACAGTCAAATTCTACTTTCGTCCCCACTGCTCCATAGCATCCATGCTGGACCCCCCAGAATACAATCCTTGCTGTTCACAGTCAGAACTGCCTATGTGTGGACTGTGCTGGTTTGGGTGGTGGTGAGCACCTTGTCGCTGGGGAGTCCATTTAGAAATCAGAAGCTGGAAAGGGCTCCTGGATCAGGCAGAGGTTGAATCCAGGGGCCTCCAGTGTCCCCTAGAATTCAGACGCTACCAAAAACATTTGGAAAGAAGTGTGGCAGAAATTACCAGAAAAACTCACGTGCCCATCTTTGGGGAAAGCATTCCTCCTCTGGGAATGGATCAATGGCATGAAACAAATCAACAAACAAAAAACCCAACTCCAGATTTCAGGGGGGCAGGGTCAGCTCCAACCCACAGCTGGTGGAGCAATGATAGGCGCTGAAATGAGAAAGATGCTCAGGGAACCTCCGTGGAGAATGAGGAAGGAACCGGGAAGCATTGCAGCAGGGAATGCGATGCCAGTGAAATGAGGGCGAAGAAAACCGGGGAGCAGCCACGGGGTCAGAGCACAGCGCAGGATGCAGACTCGTAGAGACATGGAAACAGGCAGGTGGGTCCCTCGGGCTGTGGAGAACTTCCTTTCCTTTGCAAAACTGTGTTTTATGGTTGTTATAAAGATATCTCAAAAGAATGAAATCTGAGTTTATTCCCGAGTAGCCGGGGAGCGCGCGCTCTCCTGCGCGGCCGGCAGGCGGCGGTGTGGAGCCCGCCTGCACGCCTGGCTGAGCCGCCCGCTCCCCGCAGACGGTCCAGATCCTCATTGGCCTCATCCACCTGGGCTTCGGCAGCGTGCTGCTCATGGTCCGCCGCGGCCGCGTGGGGATGCTCTTCATCGAAGGCGGCGTCCCCTTCTGGGGAGGAGCTTGCGTGAGTGGGAAGTCATCTGGGGGGGGGCCTTGCCCAGGTTTACCTCTGCCCCCTGCGCACCACCCCCATCACCTTCTCCTGGACACTACCGCCTCTAGGTAGGGGCCTGAGACAAATCCAACTCCTCAACCTGAGCCAGACCCCGTTCCTCTGTATGCCAAGCTCCCAACAAAGAGCCTGGCACAGAGAAAGCTCCCGAAAAGGATGGGATGAAGAGGATGGGTGCAGAGGATAAGGACACGAACGACCTGTGTTACCTGGGTCCTAAGCCTCACCCTGCAGCCAAACCCCTGCCTGCAGAAACCCACCAGCTCCCCTCCTGAGTCCCAACCCACCACGAGCTAGTTCCCTCACCTGGGAATCTGACCAGCTCTGAAGCCCCTGAGCCCATCCCTCTGCCATCCCCGGCAACCTGCCACCAGCCCCAGCTGGAGAATCTCCAACTTAAAGTGAACATTTTTGCATTTGCATGGTCCCAGCCCAGCCCCCCTCCCCCAACACCACCACCAGCAGCAGCATAGGTCTGCAGCTCAGCTCCTCATCTAAAAATCGGGTCCAGAGTTCTGGCCCTGCCTACCCCACAGTCTGAGGAAATCAAGAGCTAATGCATGTAGGAGCCAATTCCCAACCTTTGATTCTGCACCAAATGGTGACTGTCGTTTGCAATGCTTCTCCCTTTAGAGAGTCATCCCTCCAGTGAGTGGGGTTCCTGAACCCAGGGCACAGTGACTTCCTTCCCTTGCCCCAGGCTGCCTCCAGCAAGAGCTCAAGACCCCCAAAATTGGGACCCAGCCAGAGAAACTGGCACATATCTAGAGCAGGATGGTCACCTGGCCATGCTGCAGGGACAGGCTGTGGCCCTTCAAATAGTCCATCATTGCCCAAAGTTGAGGGAAATGTCGGCTAATAAGCCTTCTCGATTGTTTACTTGCTAAATGCCAGTCTTCCCCAGTTAGACTTGAAGCCTGTGAGAAAATGGGTCCTGTCTTTCTTACTCAACTCTGCTCAGCAAATGATTGATGAGTGAATGTTTGAAGGCACAATGCCTTCCCTAAGAGACTCTGGTGATGTGATGTCAATGAGAACATCTTGCAAGCTTCAGCTAGTTCCCTGGACAGGGGCCCCTAGTAACCAGAGAGATCCCAAGGTATCTGGCCAGGAGGCAGACAAGGTGGCAGCCAAGAGGCCACTGCCGTCTCCTTGGTGCCCACGGCCTCGACAGAGCCTAGCCATGGTGTGTCCTGCCCAGTGTCCTAGCCAAAGCCTTACAGGAGTCCCTTCTGCTCACACAGTTCATCCTCTCTGGGTCCCTCTCTGTGGCAGCCGAGAAGGACCACGCCAGCTGCCTGGTAAGTCTGATCAGGGGACCCAGAGCAAGGGTGAGGCCACAGTGGGACTCCATCCACTAGGGCCCCCAATATACTCACCCATTCAGCTCCTTCCACAAGCACTTCCGGGGGGACTGCTGAGTACCAGGTGCTGCACAGCACCCAGACATCCCAGACAGAGCCCTACAGGAGAGGAGGAGCCAAAATACACTGCGAGGCAGAAAGTGAAGTCCTCAGACAAAGCGCTCATGGTTGTTCAAAGGGAAGATGCAGGAAGCCCTCCTGAGGGAGGAGTGGCTAAGCTGCGCCCCAGTGGGCAGGAGGACTGAGAAACACCAAAGGAAAAGCATGGGGCCTCAAGGAGGGCCATGGGCAAGACTGCTGCAGAAACCGTGTGTGGTTCCATGGACCAGTGCAGAGATGTGGGAAAGGAAGTAGAAAGAATTTCGATGCAGAGACGCTCAAGGTCCAGATCATCGTGGAAGGCGCTGGTGCCTTCTGCGGGCCACAGGGAGGCGATAGAGGCTTTGGACAGGACACTGCGGAGCAGGGCCATTATCCTCAGGTCCTGGGGAAGGATAGGAGGGAAGGAGAGGAGTCAACAGGAACTGGAGTCAGGGGCCACTACCCCCCGCGTGGGAGGGCTGGATGTGGGAGGCTTGGGTTTCCGGTCTTCTCTTTTTCTCCTGCCTCTTCCCTTCCTCCTTTCCCTCCTGTGTCTCCCTCGTGCAGGTAAGGAGCAGCCTGGGGATGAACATTCTCAGTTCCATAGCGGCCTTTGCCGGGACAGCCATTCTGCTCATGGATTTTGGTGTCACTAACTGGGTGTGTTTGCAGACATCCCCGGCAGTGGGGAACGTGGAGAATGGTGGAGCCAAATCCAGGGGGTGGGGACGGTCGGGGTTTGCAATACCTGGTGGTCAAGGCCTTGGCATTGGCAGGGCCTGCCAATCCCATTAGATCCAAGAGCACATAGACCCCATGACGCTGCCCCAAGCATGGGCTTGGGGGAACAGAGAGACAGGCTGGCACAGTGAGGGGAGGGCACAGGAGGGGCAGCAGGACTGGCTCCAACTCAGCTCTGCCACCAACTGGCTGTGTGACCGTAGGCAGGTTATTCTTGCTCTGGGCCCCCTTCCCTTTCGATTCTAGAACTCTCAGCTTGCCTGAACTGTGGGTTTTGGGTCCCCAGGATGTGGGCAGGGGCTATCTGGCTGTGCTTACCATCTTCACCATCCTGGAGTTCTTCATCGCAGTCATTGCCACCCACTTTGGGTGCCAAGCCACCCGCGCCCAAGCCAACGCGGTGAGTACTTCTGCCTCACCTTGGGCCCCTGAGGGAGGCTGCTTGCTGGGGAGGCGCTCTGCTTCCGGACCCTCCCTGCTTCCCCCTGGGGAGCAACCCAGAAGGCCTGGGCCTCATTGAGCTCCACTCTCACAAATGGAGGGAATCCAAGAAGTCTTTGCCGGAAAATGGAGCTGTTTTCCTCATGGCCACAGGGGGGCGCCAGCACCAATGGACCCGCTGCTCTGGGAGCCCTGGTGCAGAGCAGTGGAAGGTCCTGGGCTCAGGGGACCAGTCGGAGTAAGTGCGGCCTCCTGCGGGAAAATGCAGACCATGGGAGGTGAGGCTGGTGAAAGTCTGAGCAGACAGATCTGCTCAAAGGGGAGGGTAAGTAGAGCAGGAAAAAGGGAAATCAATCAAGAGTGTTGGTCCAAGGCAGGGGGTGGAGCCCGCGAGAGAGAGGTGGGGGCCAAGGAGGCTCGAACCAGTGCAGGGCCGACCAGACAGAAAGAACTTTAGCTTCTCGAGAAATGAGACTTGTCTGTTTTGTTCACTGCTGTATTCCCAAGGCCGGGTCATAGTTGACCCCAGTAAATATTTTTTGAAATATCACTTGAACGGATGACAGCGGCCCATTCAGGCTGGCAGAAGTCATTACTGGGTGCTGTTCTCAGAATGCCCACAAGAGGACACTATTGCAACACCTCCCCGCCCGGCGAGAAACCTCTAGGACTCTCAATTGGGTTTTCTTTCTCTTCGCAGCCTGTGATTTTCCTGCCCAACGCCTTCAGCACAGACTTCAACATCCCCAGCCCCGCAGCCTCTCCTCCCCCTGCCTATGACAATGTGGCATATGTGCCCAAGGAGTCGTCCGAGTAGCTGGTCACTCCGGTTGGCGTCCAGCCTTTCCCCTCTGGGCCCAACCTGTCCCCACCCCCACCTTGCTAATCTGGGGCAGCCCCTCCCCAGTCCTCACACGTTGGGCTCCCCAGTGAAGTCTTCCCCAGGGACCTCTGTCCCACACATGTCCCACAGTGGTTCTTTCCTAAAAGAGTTAGTTGATGTCAAGGGGTGTGTCCCCGACCCCCCTCAGCTTTCTGTGCTGCTTTGCATCTCTCTCTGCTCACAGGGGAACACAGCATCTGGGTCACTGGGTCACAGATTCAGGGGCTGCCCTGGCCCACGGACCTGGAAATGTCATTAAGCTCAGAGAGCCCAGAACCCTCTAGAAGGCGGTCATGAGCCTAGCTGCCCCAGCCACACTGCTGGCAGTGGCCCCACCTCAAGACTCGGGGGCCCAGGAGCAGCTCCGTCCTTGTAACCTGCTGCCATGTCATTAGGCCTCAGTTTTTTCACCCAGAAATGAATGCATTGAACCCGATGGCATATAAGTGACATATAAGAGGCACCCCCTGCCCTGCCCCAGCTCCCCTGGGCTCCCTGAAGTCCTGGTCTAAGTCAGGCACTGTCACCCACTGCTCTGAAAACACTTGTTTTCCTTACCTGTAAAATGGAGTTGGTGTTGACTCTGGCCCTGCCCACCTTCCAGGGCAGGGGAAGGCTGAGGCCAACCCACTGAACCCCGACATCATCCACAGAAGCACAGTGATGGTGACCCCTCCCCAGGAGGCTCAGGATCTCTCTGTGCCATTCAGCACCCCTCCCCCTCCCCCAAGCCCGAGGAGCAAGGCTGCCTAACGGCTGCCGTGAGCTGGGGCTGGGGCTGGGGCTGGGGCTAAGAAGACACCTCCACCTATTGTCGGAGGCCCGGTGGATGGCTCATCTTATCCACACCGCAGACAGAAGTAAACAGTGTGGCTACATTTTGAGCTGGTCTCACTGTGATTACTTTTCTTTTTAACCCCAGGGGCTTCTAAGTGTTGTCCTATATTAATCAGAAGACCTGCATAACTGTCCCTCTGTCACAGCTAAAGGGTATGTCTGGGCTCTGGGCTCTGTGTGGTATGATCCTTACACTTGTTCTGTCCCTGTCTGAGCCCAAATAAGCAGGCATTCACGTCCCCACTCTACAACTGAGGACACAGAAGCTTAAAGAGGTTAAACCAAGTGCCCAAGGCCAGCAGTCTGTGAAGAGGCAATGCTGAAGTCTGAACCCAGCTCCATCTGATGTCATGGCTGCTTCTACAGGGCTCTCCCGCCAACTCTCTGGGCCTGTCGGGGGTCACTGCAATGCAATAAACTACAAGCAGACACCCCTTGGAGGGAGGGGGAGCATCGCAAGGGAGCAAATGCTCCAGATCTCTGGATGCAGCCCAATTTATTTGCAAAGTGGTTCCCTAGGTTACATGGTGTTTTAGGTGATTAAGTTCTTGAGATCAAGTCTCTGCTCACCACACAGCCGAGCCCAGCATACTTCCTGTCTCTCTGTTTTCAGTGAAGATACATAACAAATACATTCACGCTTGGGCGATAAGCCCATTGGGTATTTTCAGGGTGGCTTTCCAAACCCAACATGCATACCTTATCTATTCACGTGCATACTATACACTCAGGTTGGCGGTCCAGCCCTATCACACATACTTTGATCAATCAGAGCAGCTCTCTCCGAACCCAACATGCACATCTTATCTATTCTCATGCACACTTTAATCCTTGGTTGACCAGGCTGCGATAATGCATACCTCAAGGTTACATTTTGTTCCTCCACCAAACCCCAACCCTACACTCCCCACAGTCCAAACCCAAGTGCTTCCCACCAACCCCTTTCTCTCCCTCCTCCTTCCCAAAGACTGGGACAGGGCTGCATTCCTCAGGAACTCCTCTTCTTCATCTAACAAACTCCAGCTCCTCCTTCAAAACCCAGTTTTAATGTTGCTCCTTCTGTGAGGTCTTCCTGAAGGAGGGATAGTCAGCCAGGTGGTTGAGTTACATTCATCCACGGGCTGGACAAGGGTGGACCCATTTAAGGAGGCACTCACTCCCAGGGTCATGCCAAGGCAGAGCTGGGGTGGGGACTACAACAAGCTTTGGCTTTCAAAATCAAGAGAGGAGCTTTGAGGACTTAGAGCTGAGAACTTAAGACCACAAAGTGTAGAGTTGGGGGAGATGTGTTTGCAGGTCTAAGACCAGTTTTTCTCATAGAGGAGATCAACGACATTTTTGAGCTGAGGGGAGAAGTTTGGAGAGAGGGAGGGAGGAAGGGAGAAAAGGAAAGACGAGAGGGCTTTCTCAGGCCAGAATTGTCACAACTCTCCCCTGGTGACTAAGTCCCTCCAGAGATGTGGGGGCCAAAACCACAGATCAAATAAGAGGAAATAAAGAGCTGGATGCTTTTCCACATCCCAGGCTGTCAGCTGAGGAGACTGCACGGCCCCTAGAGAAGCCCCATGTCCAGACAACATGGAACCAGAACGTTGAGTTGACGCGGCTGAGGGTTGTGCCTGGGGACACAACACGGGGTCCTACGTTCCCAAGTGGACATAAGTAAAAGCTCCAGAAAGCTTTCTGTGTCCCCCAAAGGGAAGCAGAGGGGACTGAGAGTGCTGATGTGCAGTGTGGATCGCATGAGGCTGTAGCCACCAGTGAGAAACTAGTGAGGACAGGCCATGGCTTGTGGATCGGAAGCCATGGGAAGTGACAAACTTATCCTGACTTGGCAAAATGAAGCTTTCTGCCACTGGGAGGATGTGGGAACTATAAAAATAAGTAACGTGAAGAAGAAGGATTCTGAAAACTACTAAGAGACATTAATGAAGATCTAAATAAATAGATATACTATGTTCATGGATTGAAAAGCTCAAAATTTTGTGGAAATGCCCTTTATCTCCAAAGTTTATCTATAGATTCAAAAACAATTCTATTCAAAATTCAAACAGTATATTCACATGCTCACTCTAAAATGGCTATGGAAATTTAAAGGGTCTAAAATATCCAAGAAAACGAAGTTGGAGGATTGAAACTACCAGATTTCAAAGCTTACAATAAAGCAATAATAACCAAGGCAGTATGGTTTCAGTGCAGAAGCAGACAATTAGATCAATGGAGTGGAGAGCCCAGAGACAGAGCCTCACACAGACAGTTCGCCTGCCTGTGACAAGGCTCCACTGCCATTCATGGGACGGAAGGTCTTCTTTTCAACAATTGGTGCCGGAGCAATTGGATATTGGTATGGGGGGGCGGGAGGAAGAACCTTAATTTTTATATCACACCATACATAAAATTGAATTCAAGCTGTCATAGACCCGTATTTGAAAACTAAAACAATCTTCCTGAAAAATAGGAAAATATCACCCTGGCTGGTGTGGCTCAGGTGCTTGGGTATCATCCTGTTCACTGAAGGGTTGTCGGTTTGACTCCCGGTCAGGGCACATGCCCAGGTTGCAGGCTCGATCCCCAGTAGGGGGTGTGCAGGAGGCAGCCCATCGATGTTTCTCTCTCCCTCCCCCTCCCTCCCTAAAAATCAGTAGTTTTTAAAAATTGTTTTTTAAAAATAGGAAAATATCTTTAGTATGTTGTGATAAGCAAAGATTCCTCAAACTGGACACAAGAAAACTAATCATAAAATTTTAAAATGTATCCATGAGAGTTTAATAAAATTAAAACCTTCTGTTTATCAAAAAACACCAAAAGAATGAAAATGCTTCACAGACTGGGAGAGGGTTTCCAAACACATACGACATGACAGAGGGCTCGTGTGCAAAACCTGTAAATCACTCCTGAACACAAATGAGGAGCAGTGACAACGCGATTGAAAATAGGCAGGGCCCTGACCAGTTTGGCTCAGCGGTTAGAGCGTCGGACTGCGGTCCTGAGAGACCCGGGTTCGGTTCCCGCTAAGGGCGCGTACCTCGGTTGCAGTTTGTCCCCGGCCCTTGTTGAATTGTGTGGGTGGCAGCCACTCGATGTGTTCCTTTCACATCGATGTTTCTCTCTCTCTCTCTGTTCCTCTCTCTCCCTCCCACTCTACCTGAACAAAAAATGGAAAAATGTCCTCGGGTGAGGATAAAAAAAAAAAGAAAATAGGCAGGAAACCTCACAGCTACTTCACAAGAAGAGGATGTCAGAATGGCCAGTCAGGGTGTTCAGCATCGTCAGTCATTGGAGAAACACTAATTAAAACCACAGTGAGCCCTGGCCGGTTTGGCTCAGCGGTTAGAGCGTTGGCCTGCGGTCCTGAGAGACCCGGGTTCGGTTCCCGCTAAGGGCACGTACCTTGGTTGCACTTTGTCCCCGGCCCTGGTCGGTTGTGTGGGTGGCAACCACTCGATGTGTCCCTTCACATCGATGTTTCTCTCTCTCTGTTCCTCTCTCTCCCTCCCACTCTACCTGAACAAAAAATGGAAAAATGTCCTCGGGTGAGGATTAAAAAAAAAAAAAAAAACCACAGTGAGATACCACAACATGCCAAAATGGCTACAGTGCAAAAGTATTAATGAGTTTTGGGAGCTCATCTTCTTCAGCATTGCTGGTGGGAGTGTAATTTGATGTAACTACTTTGGGGAAACTGTTTGGCAGGACCGACTGAAGCATCCACTAACAGTTCTATCCCCAGGTATATACCCAACAGAAACGGGAGACAGTGTCCACCAGAAGACAAGGACTGAGTGTTTCAGGGCAGCTTTACTCATAATGGGCAAAAACGAAACACCGCAAATGTTCATCAACAATAGAACAGGGAAATAAATTGTGGCATATTCAATAAGCAGGAATAATAAACTACTGATAATCTAACACAGTCACATCTCTGAATGGAAGAAGAGCATACAATATTATTCCATTGGTGTGAATTTCAGGAACAGGCAGCATCACTGATGGTGACGGAAGTCAGCAGAGTGGGTTTTCCCCGGAGAGGGTGGTTTCGGCCAAGTGGGCATGAGGCAGCTTCCTGGGGCACGGGAGATGCTCTATATCTTGATCTGGTGGTGGTTACATGGGTGTAGACACAG